GTCATGATGTGTGTAATTATATTTTATTTTGAGTTAACAAGTTTTTTTCTTTCAAGATATTGGATTTATTAGTAATGTGATCTATTTTGTTTATGCACACCAACTGTTTGTTAAAATGGGTCAATAAACAGGAAACGTATATTGCTTGTTGACGCTGTTGTAAGCTGAATATGGATAAGTCTTGGATGGGAGCATACAGAACATCAGAAACCTATGTAAAAGGTGTTGCAGAATTTATCAAATATGCAGTGCACAATTACAAGATTTCTAAACATATGGATCCTGCAGATACCAAAAAAAAGATAAGAATTCCCTGTCCATGTGTTAAGTGTGTAAACCACATATCTCATTCGGTGGATGTGGTAGATGATCATCTATTCAGGAATGGAATTGATCAAACATACACAAATTGGAATAAGCATGGAGAAACAGAAGAACCACCAAGAAGTTATGTATATGAACATAATTTTGACATGGATACGTAAAACGATGTAGATTCCACGAACATGAACACAGAAATGCCAACAGATGCTATAGAAACAGTAGAGATGGTTGAAGTTGTAGAAGAAAATTTTATTGGGAACCCTGATAAGTTTAGAGAACTGATAGAGGATGCCGAGAAACCCCTATACACAGGGTGTCATAATTTCACAAAGTTATCTGCAATCATTCAACTACTCAACTTGAAGAGTAAGTATGGAGTATCAGATAAGTGCTTTACAGAATTATTAGTTTTGATAAAAAAAACATGTTACCAGAAGGAAACGAAATGTACAGTAGTACATATGAGGCGAAAAAAACATTTAAGGCAATGGGTTCAGGGTATACTAAGATACATGCATGTGTCAACAATTGTATACTTTACAGAAACGAATAAACAGACTTGGCAGCATGTCCTACTTGTGGTAAATCAAGATGGAAAGTTGATGAACAAAAAAATAAAATTTACAACAATATTCCTGCAAAATGTTTGTGGTACTTTCCAATTATTCCGCGCTTCAAGCGTCGTTTTCAGTCTAAGACAACTGCAAAAGATTTAACATGGCACACAATAGAAAGAAAGGTGGATGTTGGCGTTTTAAGTCACCCAGCTGATTCACCAGCATGGGCTGCCATTGATGACAAATATCCTGATTTTGCTAGCGAACCAAGAAATTTGCGACTAGGCATTTCGGCGGACGGGGTTGATGTGAACAGAGGAAATAGGAGTCATAGTGTTTGGCCTGTTTTAACTGTCATTTACAACCTTCCACCATGGTTGTGTATGAAGAGAAAGTTCATCATGCTTTCGTTATTGATTTCGGGAACACCAGGAAACGATATTGATGTGTTCCTAGCACCTTTTATTGATGATCTGCAATTATTATTTGATTTTGGAGTTGAAACATACGATGTATATGCACAAGAGCATTTTAAACTACGCGCAGTTGTGTTGTGGACTATTAATGATTATCCTGCTTTAGGTACATTAAGTGGTTGCCCATACAGCGGTTTTCAAGGTTGTGTTGTGTGTGGTGAAGAGACACACTGCATTAGACTCCCTGAATCGAATAAGCAGAGTTATGCTGGTCATAGAAGATTTCTACCGTATGATCACCCGTTCAGAAGACAAAAGAAGGCATTCAATGGACAACAAGAGTTCTCACCCTCTCCAGAACCTATGAATGGGGAGGAGATATATAACAGGGTAAAATTTATAATTAATAAATGGGGAAAGGTTAATAAGGGCAAGGAGGCAGAAATCCAACAATAAACAAGTGGAAGAGGTGGGAAGATGAATAAAAAAAAGAGAAAATCACACCAAGTGGGTACTTCAGATGTGGGCCAGCAAAATAATAAATACTGGAAGAAATTCAATATATGGTATAGACAACTAAGGTATTGGCCCGACAATTTGGTTCCACGTTGTATAGATTTTATGCATGTGGAACAGAACGTGGGTGAGAGTTTAATAGGAACTGTTTTGAACGTTCCCGGGAAGACGAAAGATGGTTATAAAGCTCGATTGGATTTGGTTCATTATGGTTTAAAACCAGAGTTGCATCCTCAGATAGAAGGGAACAACACAACACTTCCCGCAGGAGGTTGTACATTGACAAAAGAGGAAAAAGACAAATTATGTGAGACTTTATACAACTTAATGGTTCCTCAAGGGTATTGTTCTAATTTTTCTAGTTTGGTGAGTCTAAAGGATAGGAAGTTGATCGGACTAAAATCACATGACTATCACATGCTCATGCAACAATTTTTGCCCATAGCAATTCGATCTATTATGCATCCACCCACCAGAGTTGCTATTACAAGGTTTTGTTTCTTTTTCAAATCAATATGTAGCAAAGAAATCATAGTGGATGAGCTCGATAAGTTGCAAGAGGAGTTATGTGTAACCTTATGTCTTCTTGAGAAACACTTTCCACCATCATTTTTTGATGTGATGATTCATTTAACCGTTCATCTCACTAGGGAAGTAAAATTATGCGGTCCAATATTCTTTAGATGGATGTACCCATTCGAAAGGTTTATGAAGGTTATTAAGGGGCACGTGCGAAACAAAAATAGACCAGAAGGATGCATTGCAGAAGAGAATGTTGCAGAAGAGACAATTGAGTTTTTTAGTCAATTCCTTAAAAGGATGGATACTGTTGGTATTCCACCTGACAATCATAACAATTGTGGAATTCATAAAGGTGTAGATAGTAGCTCTATTACGGACGGTACTCCTCTATCTGCTGCTAAATCGGTAGAAGTTTCTACAGAACTATTCAGCAAAGCACATTTCTTTGTATTGCAAAATACATCTGAAGTACTCCCATATATCAAGTAAGGTTTTTTACATGTATGTTTTTTTTATAATAATATTAACATTAATGTATTGACAGACGACACATGAAATTTTTGGAACATCTACACCCTACTAAACGAAAGGCACATATAGAACAAGAGCATAGTAAAACATTTGGTCATTGGTTACGAAAGGAGGTATATTCTTGTCAAATATGTTGTGTTCTTTGTTATTTTTTTCTTGATTTCTTAAATTCATAATCTAATTACAATTCAGGTAGAGAGAGAGTTAGGGGCCTGTAGAGAAAGTATAACAGAGACAGTGAGATGGATTTCACATGGACCCAATAAGAACATTATTAAATACGATGTATATGCTATTAATGGATATACTTTTCATACAAAAGCTCGTGAAGGTAAAGTTTACCAAAACAAATGGGGTTAGTGTTGTTGCAACTGACACACACATCAGTAAAGAAGTTGTAACATATGCCAAAAACACTTATTATGGTGTTTTACAAGAGATATGGGTACTAGATTATCATTTTAAAAGAATTCCAATTTTCATGTGTGACTAGGTTGACAATAGAAATGGGGTAAAAAGGGATAAATTGGGGTACACACTAGTTGAACTAAAAAGATTAGGCCATAAAGGTGATCCCTTCATATTGGCCTCACAAGCACAACAAGTTTTTTACGTGACAGACCCACTCGATCAAAAAATGTCTATTGTGTTCAAGACATCTCCCAAAAATTACAGAGATACATATGAAGATGTAGATGAAGAATTTAGTACTATTGTTCCTCATAATGATAACATATTGCCACGTGTAGACACACTTGACTTGCAGAAGGAAAATGATTATTTTCTTACTGATTGTCACGGTATTCTTATACGTACGGTACGTGTTTCTTAATGTCATTAATTACATTTGTAGCTATAATATTTCTCCTTCTTTTAACACTTAATGATCTTTATTTTTTGTTTGTAGAAGGGAAAGGCCAAACCTTGAGCATAGCGTTATGTGGAGAATAAGAAAATGACAAAAAATGACGATGTACTTTAGTTAATATCTTTTTACCATATTATACCATCAAACTATTCTGGTGTAATATTGTTATAACTCAAACATATTTTTTTTCGGTTTTTTATTGTTATATTGTTACACATGTTATAACATAAACTGCATGTAATAGCAATGTACTTTCGTTATGCAATGTTACACAAGTTATGTTGTATTTATTTCATTTATTTATCATAATATTCTGTTAAAATAATTTGTAATCTTTTCATTTATTGTGGTGTATTATCTGGTGCAATTAGAAGAATAGATGACAAAAACGGCAATTTGGTCCTTTCTTATAACTCTTATTCAAGACGACATTATTTTTATTTTATGACTATATTTACATATAGACACATATAATAGCTGTAAATGTAACTAAATGCTACCTACACACAATATTTGTTTATTCTTAAAGCCAATTCATAATATTTTGACACACATAATAAAAGGTACATGACCATAAGTAACATATTTAATGAACGACCCCTAATTATAACGATAAGACATTATTTTTCTTTTATGACTATATTTACATATAGACACATATAATAGCTGTAAACGTAACTAAAAGCTACCTACATACACATTATTTGTTTATTCTTAAAGCCAATTCATAATATTTTGACACACATAATAAAAGGTACATGACCATAAGTAACCAATAGTAACTTCTTTTAATTTTTTGCGTAAACTAAATACAACTAGTATAGAACCGCCCTATGGACACACAAATAATTAGTGTGACCAATATTTGTCACCTTTTAGCTACTTTGTCTGTTATGTGGCTAAAAAGGCAACAGGTTATAGACACACAGAGAACTAACTCATGTGACGATAATTTTATCTACTGTCTCTCATAAAAAAAAGTGAGACAATCTTAATGGATATATGTGGCTGATTGTGACCTATGGCCTCAGTGTTCGAGTGTGACTAATATTTGTCACATTTGGTATAATTAAGTGTCATAAAAGTTTTGATTGTCTATATAATGGCCACACAATCTAATTTAAATGTATCCAAAAACAGTCTCTAAATTTTTTTAGTGACTTTTGGCCACACTTTTAAGAAAAAGTGTCACAGGCCGTTTTTCGGAAAGTGTGACCGTAGGTCATTTTTGTACTAGTGTTACCAAATATGCATGAAAAAGAATCTTCAACTTCTTGAATTTTTTTTATCATTGAAATTTTCTGCAATCTTCAATTGTGGAGATGTGAACAAGTTGTGATTAATCAGAAAATGAAGCTGCATAAAATCTGAATTCTCTGTATCATAACTTTTCTTTGGTGTTTTCCTGAATTCATCATTTTTTCCAAGTACTTCTATCTCAATCGTTTCATAGCACCGATGTTTGTTGGGATATCCCTTGTTCAAACCTGGTGGATCGTTAGCTCTTTGCCTCAAAATACTATTTATTTGCTTGTGTTTCTCCAATTTGATAGCTTGTAATCTCTTCTTTTCTTCATTATACATGACAAATTCAATGGATTTACGTTTGTCTTTTGGATCATTATTGGAAGTTATTTTGACAAGAGCCGAACTCAAACCTCCTACACATTCAGTAGTCGGAATCCCTGTCGATTGGTCTTTCGACTGATCAAAGCTTGTTGTTGTAGAGGTTGTTGTTAATGATACAATTACAAGTTTCATTGGAATTGTTGTTAGAATTTGCGTCGACATAATCTTCCCAATAACTACTCCTGTATCGTCACTAGAAGCTTTGGACGATCCAACTCCTCTTTCTCCCCATTGTGACATTTGCGCGTCATGTTGACCATTTGTTCGTAAACGAAGTGCCAAATTTAGGATTGGATCCAACTCAGCTTAAATACTTGATTTAATGTTCGAAACCATTTTGGAAATGCATTCTTCAGAGATAGAAGATTGATTCGAAAGATCCACTTTCGTTAAAGTATCTTTAATACTAGATAAAAACTCCTCAACTTTCTCAAACACATTGTCATCAATTTCAGACTTGTCTTTGTGATCCTTGGAATGAACCTTGTTGCGTTTAACCAAGTGAGTTATTGCACCAGCTACAACATGAACTTTTTCATGCAACAAATTGTAATTATCCTCCAGCTTCTTAACTTTTTTCGAAATCAAGGTTTGAAACTCAGAAACCTTCAGATCAAGAGACTTTGTTCGTTTCATTCACTTTATCCACAACGATGCCATGATGTTCTTTAGCAACATCACGAAGCTTGGTATTCTCATTATTAAAACTTCGAGAGTGAGTAGCAAATCTCTCTTCATGATTCTTATCAACCTCCCCAATCAAAGTTAGTAAGCAAGACTCTAGAGCTTTCAACAAATAATCAACTTCAGTGACATAATTCTTACCTCCATTACCAGTCATAAATTGAAGAAGAGAGTGTATTTTGGAGATAAGAATCTTGAGCTGTTTACTTGGCATGATTAATTCATCAGGGATATCTTCTTATTCTTCTGGATTGAACTGAATTTCTGGAAACGAAACCATCACAATCTCATCATAATCTTCATCTTCTTGAATGGACTTCTCAACCCAGGTTATTGTGAGGAGAAAAGAGTGGTAATTGGTTCTTGCACAACACCAACAAAGGTTGGTGACACAGTTGTAACAGGAATGGAAGAACTAATTTTTGATGTTGGTGGTGGTAAAACAGTTGATGTCGAAGCTATTGTTGTGTCAATTGTATTCATCCCTTCATGGACGTTGACATTTGCTTCCGTATTAGATATGGGCATAGTGATTTCTGGATTTTTGACCTCCTCCAAAACAGACTTGGTATGCGAAACACCAGATGGTATGACTGTGGCCTTATCAGGGATGTTTATGGGTTGTTTTTCACTAGAATCAATGTTTGCACCTGTATCAGATACGTTTATAGTGACATAAGGAATCCTTGTCTCCTCGAAAAATGACTCTACATGCGAATCCTTTCGTGGTGACACATGAAAAGAAACCTCAAATCGAATCTCTGACCCAGCGATATCATTCTCAGTCTCGAGAGTTACTTTCTCAAATTGAACTTCAGCTTGATCAGGCTTTCACTTCTTTAACCATTACACAACATCTAAATCTCGACTATTCTTTGATATTAGAGATCCAGGACTCGAAAACTCTCGTAAAATAATTCCCCTTCTGGTAAATTGGAGTTTCTTAACCCTTTTGGAACCACCTTTTTTCACAACTGGTCCACTTTCCTATGTGATTGTAGTTGTACTAGTAACACGATCAAAATTTTCAACAACAATTGGCTCAACAGTCTCGAAAACAAGCTCTGGATTAGGTTTTGTGGTTGTGGAATCATAAGTTTTATTTGTTGGTTTCTTGGTTCATTTGAGTACCCTTTTACCAGTCTTTGTGGGTATTGTTTCTTTAACAAACTCCTCCTCTACTTCTTTTGGCTTTTAAACTTCGTTCTTAATCTTTTGAGCCTTAGATCTTTTTGATGCTCCTTCTACCTCTTTTTGTGAAACCTTTGGTGGAATAACACCAGTTGGAGTACAATCGATAGAAGCCAAATATTGCACCAACAAGTGAGTTTTAGGATCTACCAAATATAGCATCGAACCAGGGATTCGAGACACAACAGAAAATATTGTAGCATCATCCACGATAATCTTTGGAACTATCATCGTAGGAAACTCAGCAGTGGCAACACCTAATGGAATAATAATATTTTTCTAACTATAGATTTCCTTCCAAATCAACCCCCAAAACCTAGCATTCGACACCCCAGTCGCTAGTTTGGAATGAGAAATTGATGTTCCAATTCTTCACACAACAATGAAGTATAGTCTACATTAAGACCATAAAACAAACCAACCTCAACTGAATAAACCTCAAGCTTGGCCTTATCGAGTCCAAGACTCCTCCCTATAAACACCTTAACACAATTACAAACTAAAAAATCCAAACACAGGGTAGGCTCGACTTCTTAAATAAAGTGATATTCATAAGAGTGGGTTGATGTCCCATCTCATTAAACATGTGGATAACCTGATCAGTGGATACTTCATAAAAATTACCTGAAGAAGGTAACTTCAAATCTATGTGAACTTCTTCATTTCAGAAGACGATATCTGGAAAGTAACCACTTTGGTTGTCTTATTGAATACCTCCGTTGAAGCGGCAAGCGATAACCATTGCATCGGAATGGCAAATGTACTAGATATCGCAAAAGAAAGAACATAAATATTCAGAATTTGAACAATGATATGCAGTTCATTTAGATACACAACGAGAGTCAGAGTGAGACGAAGATTTGTGTGTGGAATTTTCATTGTTGGTTGTGAAATCTCATATTCATTGGTTGTAACTCGATCAACATTGTGTTGTGTAGCAAAAATTTGAAAAAATCAGAGATAATTTCAGAGAGAAAATCATCGATGAACAGTTAGGGATCTTGAGAGTTTGTAGAGAGCATAAACTTAAAATTGGAAGAACCATTTTCCTTATATAACTGGCTTGAATTTTGAATTCAAACCTTTGCCCAATGAAAAATTTTCATGTGGAATATTGGTTATTGAATCATCACCATAAAAATATCCATGTGTAAAAGTGATGATCACTTTTCTCCTAAATTCCCGTGAAAATCTTGAACCGTCACTTCCACTAGATATTTCGCTACTCCCAACCGGATAAGAACCGCCATAAGTTTCAATACGGAGAACCATTTTGTTACTAATAGAGAATCATCCTTTATCATGGAGGCAAGGCTCATTCACTTATGCGAATGATAAGTGAAATCATTTGCCACACCAAATAGCTTCTAGCCCAACGGTATCCGGTGTTGCCCTCCCTCCTTGAGGTCGAGGGTTCAAGTCCCGCAATGGACATAGGTAGAATAATTTAGGAGTAGTTTAGTATATTTGTCGTTTAAAAAAAAATCATTTGACACACTTTTCAAAATCTATGTTTCGAGTTGGTAATACCTAAACCCTCAAGGATTCCAATGCTTTCGTGTGCCAAAGAATAAGATAGAATCAACATAAAACAAATGTGGATATTGTGATATCAAATATCCTTTGATATGATGGAAAATTGATCCCGCGCAAAGATCTCTTCATTCGACATCAAGAGAGATAAGAAATTGCCTGTATGGTTTTGTCACACCCCGCTAAAAGTGGAAACATGGCATGCGACGATACAACAGGTCTCATAGCAAAAGTTAAAAGACAACACCAACCATAGTATTAAAAAGCATTACAATTTACAATGAGTTTGAGCAAGTTTTCAAAATAAATTATAATGTATTCGAAAGACAACGCATGAAAATGCTCCTACAAGTCATGTGTCTCTAGGTGCCTCTTACTAGATGATTCCTGAAAAAGCATGTAAAACGAGCGGTCAACTACCGAAATAGTTGGTGAGTTCACATGTTAAAAATGTTGGATTAGGTATCTTAGCGATAACTATAATTGGTATGCACTTGACCCGATAGTAGCATGGTCTATTTCGGGTTGCCTTCACCAGAACAATTTGATAGATGGATATTTGAGAAAAGAGGTTATTTATGATTTATTAATATATTATTAGAATAATATATTAACTGAGAAATCATATTATTTAATTAGTATTGATCAAGACTTAATTTGGAATTAATTTAGTGATCAAAAGAGACTAATTAAATTAACAGGGACTGATTATGTAAATTAGTGATACATATGGATTGGGCTAAAGATCCATGATTGATTTGTGATGGGCTAAGCTTATGGGTTATGTCACACCCCCAAACAAGAATGGCGGAAACATTCGGGGGTGGATGACTTGAAGTAGTATCATAACAGTTGAATATTCGTAAAGAAAGTACACACAACCATCATATATATAATTTAAAAGTTACATTGTTGCTTACAATAAATGTCCCAAAAGAATTACAATATGATGATTCAATAAGTTTTAAGATTTGACGTCTTAGCGTCTCTTCTCCAAAAGCTGACGTTTTACGTGTATTACTGATTCCCTGAGAAATACAAGTAGTTTTGAAAAAGTGTCAACAATTAAGTTGGTGAGTTCATAAGAGTTTTTATACTAAAATTTGTATGCCCTTTTGGTAAAAATGATTGAGTGTGTTTCCAGAAAATCCAATATTTTCAATGTATGTGTGGTAGTTTGAAATAGTTCCAAAGACTGGAATGCATTAGTATCTTTCATGCTAAAAGGTGAAAGTGGATTTATACTTATATATTGTAAATACCGAATGCATTTAATAGTCTCGTAAATCGAAGATATTTTGATACACCATGTGAGTTTTATAACCATGTTATTGACCCTGACTACCTGTAACAACGTTCTTCAGGCGTTGCACTGTTATGACATTTGCCACCCCAGACCTGCCGGTCTAACTGTAGCTAACAGTTTAGGTGCGGGATTGTCAATCCCATATAGATCTATACACAAGTATCACGCTCTCCCGCCAAGAGATTATGGTTTATAATACAGGACTTGAAATGCATACTCGAGAGTACGTTGAAGATGAGTGTCTCACAAAACATAGTATCAAAAGATTTACAGAACGAAAAGTCTACATTTCTCGTAGATGAAAGTATTTCCTTTATACAGTGTTTATGTAAAGATGTTATGAATAACTCGTAAACTATACCCATTATAGTTTTTCGAAAGTGTGTTTCATTTGGTGATAAAAACTCGATGTAATACCAATTTTGCATGTAAAGTGTAATGTTGGTAATTTAACATTTATGAACAAAACGTAGGTAAATTATTCGAAACCATATGTAACGATGCGTATTTTAACATACGTTTTTCTCGTGTTTGACTTGTATTCCCCCCCCCCCCCAAAACATGCAAAAGACGTGAAAATGTAGGGGTATGAACTCACCTGGAAAGTGTGGTGATTTGAAGAAAATGAGATTCTCTCGGGCAGCACTTCGACCGGGAAGTGGTAGGTTTCTCGAGATTCTCGGAGCTTTGGACCTTCGTCAGAACTTGGATACGTAACCGGGGTGTCGGGGTCGTCTCAGGGTGTTAACCGCAGAGTAGAAGTGAGAGAGAAGAGTGAAATGAGCAAGAGAAGTTGGAACCCTCGCATCTTATTTATAGGGTGAACTTTCGGGACTCACGTCGTGAGCATGGGATGGCTCACGTCATGAGTTTGGTCTGTAGACGCGACGCTTGGCCGTCTAGCTCTGGCACACATCAGTCA